CCTCTCAAGCGTACTCAATCGTAAAATTCCAGCAGTCACATACTCAATCTCTCGAATATCGGAGATGTTAGCACCAATCCCCACCGTTCGGTTAACCCGAGTTCGACACGTGGATGCCGAAAGAATCAAGCTTGAACTATCCAAAGGGGACTTGGTGGTTTGTCCTGAAGGAACAACATGTCGTGAACCTTTTCTCTTGAGGTTCAGTGCACTCTTTGCTGAGCTTACGAACCGAATTGTTCCTGTGGCCATGAACTACAGGGTAGGGTTTTTCCACGCAACCACGGCGAAGGGTTGGAAAGCTTTGGACCCCGTATTCTTTTTCATGAACCCTAGGCCTGTTTATGAAGTTACGTTCTTGAACCAGTTGCCTATGGAAGCCACGTGTTCGTCGGGAAAAAGCCCTCATGAAGTTGCAAATTACGTGCAGAGGATTTTGGCCTCCACATTAGGGTTTGAGTGCACTAACTTCACTAGGAAGGACAAGTACAAAGTGCTTGCTGGGAATGATGGAACGGTTCCGTATATTTCATTCGTTGATCAACTTAAGAAGATGGTGAGCATCTTTAACCCTAAGACCACGAAAGAATAAGATTTCTTTGTTTGGTGGCCCGCCGTCGAAGTATAAATAGGTTAATTTCTTTGGGGGGTTTTTTTTTTTTGGCATTGGATTCGGTGGGGTTAATTTGTATTTTTTGTTTCTTTTTTTGTGGTTAATTAATTATTATTTTGTCTTACCACATCTGTATACCACCTTATGTGGCAGATGAGGTACAACCACATCTATTAAAAAGTGTTAATAAATCATAAAAGAAAATAAAATGTTAAATTAGTTTGAGTAATGCTACACTTACCGCATTTTTATCATACATTTCTATATCACATGATGTGGCATGTATATATCATATGTCACATTAATTATATGAATGAAATGTACTTTAATAAATAAAATTAGAAAAACAAAAACTAATATTTTACATGATGTGACATGTACACATTAGCTGCCACATCATGTAATACAAAATTGTGGTTTGAAAATGTGCTAAGACTAGTATTATTCATTTTTCAATAAAGTACCACTGTAGTAGATGTTGATCACTTTGCTTGTAAATTATTTCGGGACTTGGATTGGAATGAAGTATATAGGATTTTGTCTTGGTGTAGCTAACCTCTCTGTCTAAGGTGTGTTTGGTTGCTGTTTTCTATTTCCTATGACATTGAAAAACATAAAAAGAGAGATAAGGAGAAAGAAAACTATGCTCGGAATATGCCGTCTCATCTTATCAGAATACAAGAAGACATATAAGTGTAAATGATGTCGCATTTTGGGAGAGCTTTTTGAAAGGTTAAAAGCACTTCTGACAGCGTTTAACATAAAAATTTAGAAGCAATTCTGGGTTATAGAATTGCTTCCCAAAGAAGCACCTGTTATGTGCTGAATAAGTATTTTAAGTGCTTTTCCAGGAAGCACCTAGATTATTTTTTTATGAAAATTCAAGATTTTTTTAATAAAAACATTTTTATTAAAAGCACTTATGAACATAAATACTTCTAAAAAAGCAATTCCAAACAAGCCTGTAAATTGCCTTGCCCCTGTGTTGTTCTTCTGCACAAAGAAAGCGATAGAAAATATAGCATACGTCCTGGGCCTAAATCTGCACGGCATGTGGAATGTTGAGCTGTTATTCGTAAGTATATTCGTATTATCCTTTTAGGCCCACTAGCGTTGCCTATGTGAATACACTATGCCGGCCCCAAGTTTTATAAGTTAATAACTCCATTGATTTGGATTTTTCTTTTTCTTTTTTGTACGAACCACGAGGTGGTCCTAGATGGACCCCAACTATGGGTGACACTTTTAAGTCTTAACCACAACCCAAACTAATCCCCGCTCACACCGGGTTGGCCCGTAAGGGGTAAAGTGCTGGCCAAAGTGGTGACTCCATACGAGAGCAGGGATCGAATCCCTGACATTCTCTTAAGGAATGAGAGTGCCGAACCACTCATACTAACCACCTTGGTTATTGATTTGGATTTTCGTTCGGGTAGATGTTGGGTTTCATGATATTAGTAAAAATACTTAAGTGCACCCCATCTTAAATTTGTAAAAAAGTAATTAATTTGGAAATAGCTTAATGACTTGTATGTATCAACTACTTTCATCATGATGATGTTAATTGCTACCAAAATCGACGATTTATTCAATACTAGCCTCTTCGCACGTGCTTTCGTGTCTGGGAGAGGCTTTTTTAAAAAAAATTAAAAATTTATTTTAGAATTAAAAACAGATAATGGATTGTTGTATTTCATAAAAATATGATCCATTATCTGATATTTATTTTATTTTTTTAAATATGAAAAAGTGTGAATTTACCATATTATCCTTATTTAATTAATAATTTCAATACTTAATGCTTGCATTAACTAAGTGCATTTTCTAGTATTTTAAATGTTTTACCATTCTCAGCCTTTTGCTTTATATATATAGATATACGAAAATAATCTATAATTTAATTTATTTTTTAGTATAGATGATTTATAAAACGAACGTATAATGAACGGGGATGAGAGATACATGAGTCTATGCCATATGCGCATAGTCATACTTAAAAATCATCCTTAGTCCCGGCTTCAACTAATTTAGAAATATATATCTGATGCAAGTCTAAATTTTGGTCAAAGCCAGAAATGAAAGAGATGATGCTGCTATTCGTTTCTTCTTCTTTATTTTTCCGGTTGGCTCGCGTTCAGGAATAGGTACGACTTGGAAAAATTCTTATTTGCCAAAACCTGCGTATGTGCTGAGCTTCACATGCAGATGCAGTCTACTTTTCTGCTTTCCAATGCAATTGCATGCTAAAAGCACACCCGAAGAAAAAGAAGAGGCTGATCAGCTCTAAAATTAATTTAATACTTATACATTAAACAATGTATTAATTATGATTAGTAAGAAAAATGGAATTCATATGCAAAGATAGATACCAATAATTTCGTCATTGCAGATGGATTGTTTAACATTATAGTTTGTCAGGAAAGCAAACTTGGTTAATATCTTATGATTAGTTGATCATGCGGAGATTATTTTATTAAAAAAAAATTCGGAAAAATTGCAAATAATCATAATCCAGAAATGAATGGTCGGTTTGTTTGCCCAACATTTACTGACTAATAAAAGGCAAATAATTTCATACGTAATAATATAATAACATTACTATTTGCAAGCACTTTCAACTGAAATCATAAGAATTTAAATTCTCATTTTGACGCAAAAGACTCACTAATATAGTGGTTTGGAATAAATATTTCATCTAAAAAAGATCATGAGTTCGAGTCATAACATCCGTGTAGTGTGTGTGAATTTAGTATACTATCACTCCCTCTTAGTATTGTGAATTTATTTAGAAATTAATATTTTTATTATGTGTGGGTCTTAAACTTTCGGTAGTCGTTTTAAAAAATTAAATATGATTTAAGATGACCTAAAAATTAGACCCTTAACAAATACATTGGACTTGTTCAAGAGAAACCAAGAAAACCTAATTGAAACATAAGGAAACGCAGCATTCAATGAAAACAAGACAAAGAAGCATGCGATGTTTAGGAAATGATGATGACGTGTTGGACAGCGAACTGGTTCTTCTCTCTAAAATCATGACTCAGCTCGTAAGGCGTGCCACGTCACTACCCCCAGCCGGGCCGCTTCTCACCTGTAGCTGTAGCTCACTCAGTTGGATAGCAATTCCTTTTTCAAAAAAATAGATATATAATAAAGTAATAAAAAAGAGGAACATAAAATATCAGTTGGAGAAAGAAAGAAAGAAAGAATAATGTGCAATGTACAACCATGGGTGACCACAAAAGTCAAAACGGTTTTTTTAGGTGATATCAACATAGAAACGATGAGAAATTTTAATTTGTGACCGTCACACGTGATGTAGTATCATTTATTTATACATTATAATATAATTAAATAATATAGTTAATTTTTTCAAATTGGAAATCTCAAATTCGACTTCGCACGACATCATTATTTTGTTTACGAGAGAAATCCCCTCTTCAACATTTTTGATCTTATCTATTTAAAAAAGGTAGTTTTTGTTAATATTTTTTTAATGTTTAAGTTTATTTTTAATTATTATTTAATCTTTATGGTTTCTTATATTGCCATCAGTTTATTATTTATATATATATATATTTTTTTTTTTTTTTGGGTCAAAGTTCATTACACTTTTTTGTTTTGATGTTTTGAAGTTTGACCTAGGGTCATAGTTAGAACTTTTGGAAAAATAGTTGACAGAGTCTCTTTTCCAAATAATAGTAAAATCCTCTCAGTTAAGAAACGAATATTACCACGTCATCCTGCATAGAATATTCCTCTAAACTCTTCGCGCCGGCTCGCGAAGCTCAAATTGAAAACGGCGCAGCCGCCCCCTCCTTCCCCCCGCCCCCTTTCCGTTGCCAACTCCAAAGCGCACCGTCTCATCTCCGCTTCCCACTTCCTCCAAAACCGCCCTCACACTTCTCTCATCTCTAACGGTTACTAAACGTCGTTATGCGCTTCGCCCAATCAAGCTTCACCACGTGTGCAAAAGTTACAAGCGTTCTCGCCACGCTAAGTCGCTATAAACAAACGCGGTTTTGTCGTTAATAACACCATAAACCTTTCTGTCTTCAGTTTTTAACACGCAATTAACAAACTTGACAACCAGAAGAAACCCTTTTGTAGTTTTTTCTCTCGGGGTTTTATTCATTTTCCCATCGCCCAAACAGAACTTTTACCATTGGGAATTGTCATTTCTCGGATCGAATTCAATTGATTTGGACTGCTAGAGGCGTTTTTTTGTTTCGGATCGGCAGTATTGATTGGCCTTCCATGTCCGCAGCGACGCCGTCTTACTGGTGCTACAGATGTAGCCGCTTCGTCAGGGTTTTAAACGACGTCGCCGTCTCCTCCTCAGCGCTGTGCCCTGACTGCGGCAGCGGCCTTGTCGAGGAGATCGGCCGCGATGTACATGATTGGAGCCAACAACCGCTCTGACTCCAATCCGGATCACACCGCTCCAAGCCCCTTGGGGCCCCGAAGACCTCGCCGGAACCACGGCGACCGTTCGCCGTTCAACCCGGTCATCGTCCTCCGTGGAACAACCTCCGAAGGTGCTACTTCGAACGAAGAAGGTCGCGGATTCGAGCTGTTCTACGATGACGGTGTCGGGTCGGGGCTCCGACCCTTACCTACAAGCATGTCCGAGTTTCTACTCGGGTCGGGTTTTGACCGCCTTCTCGAACAGCTGTCCCAGATCGAAATCAACGGAATCGGACGGTACGAGCAGAGACCCGCATCAAAATCTGCGGTGGAATCGATGCCGACGATCGAGCTCGACGAGTCTTACATAGCGGCGGAGCATCACTGCGCGGTGTGCAAAGAAGCGTTCGAAGTAGGAACCGAAGCTCGGGAAATGCCCTGCAAGCATATATACCACTCGGATTGTATACTCCCGTGGCTCTCCCTCCGAAACTCGTGTCCGGTATGCCGGCATGAGCTGCCGGCCGATTCGGAGGCCGAGACGGGTCAGGAAGAGGACGAGAACGCGGGTCTTACGATCTGGAGGCTGCCCGGCGGCGGTTTCGCGGTGGGGAGATTCAGCGGCGGGAGAAGAGGCGTCGAGAGAGAGCTTCCGGTGGTGTACACGGAGATGGACGGCGGTTTTAACGGCGCAGGAGCTCCGAGGAGGATTTCGTGGTCGAGGAATGGAGGAAGAGGGAGGCAGAGTGGTGGGTTGATGCGTTTTTTGCGGGGATTGTTTGGTTGTTTTGGCGGGGTCCAGTCGTCGGCGGTTTCGGGTTCGGGTTCGGAGAGGAGGTTCGGGACGCCAACGCCGCCTGGAACGACGAGTCGTAGGAGGGTGAGGTTTATGGATTTGGAGCAGACGACGACGTCGACGCCGAGGAGGCGGAGGACTTGGTCGATGGATGTGAACAGTGGGATTGTTAGATGGTGAGGTTCGTTAATTTCACTCGTGGTGTAAATATTGGGTAAAAAATATGAGTGAATGCGAATGGGGCCTTGAAAATCCCATGAAATTAGTAAGCTAGTTAATTAAAAAGAAGCAGCTCATCTGCAGAAGAAGAAGGACCAGCTCCAAGAGAGACAAAGCCAAAGTGAGTTTTTAAAGTTCCATGGAGTGAAATCTGAACCAGGAATTCTAAGTGTATTTTGATTTCCTCCAAGAATTTGTAATTGGTAGTGAGATTCAGTTTGTATAAAGTGTAAGCATCTTCTTCTTGTTCATGTTCTTGTTCATGCATTGCATGAGCTATTTCTTGTCATGAAAATTGTTGGGAATTACAATCACCCTGGACATTTTTTATTTTTTTGGTGTTTCTTTCTTACATTACAACTGCGTGACAAAGATTGAGCTACTTGCCATTAAACTCCATAGAGATGGTGACAACGGGAAAACGACAACGTTTTTTGCATTGATAATGGGAAGAGGTCATTGTTTACTGTTTAAGGTCAGCTGGGTTTTCTGTTCCCCTTTCTCTCTTGGGTTTGCTTTGAAGTTTGAACTTGGAGCTGTGTCATCAATGGCTGCAGTACTTTTTTCCCAAGATGCTTTCTTTATAGTACTTGATTCATAAACAACAAATGGGTAAGTAAAACGACTTGCCGTTCCACATAACATGGGCATTGCCATTTGTTATGTCCTTGTTTTTTTTCGGTTATAATTTGTTATTTGTTCTGATCTGAGCCTATTTAGGTAATTACATTTGGTAGCATAGTTGACTAAAGGAAGCCTCACCCACAAAAATTGTCGTCCAGAATTACTAAGAAGCCAAATCATGGCACATGCCATGCCAACACTTGTCGCTCGATTCAAACTGGCAAATATCTTCGGAAGGGATTTGGAGCTCGATTTTATTCCATATTTTAAGTGTCATGCCATGTGGTATTCAGTGAGATAGATGCCATACACACATTTTGGAGTTTCATGTAGCGCATATACCATTTTCACATAAAAATCTTTCCTAAAGGGTTGTGTTCATTCAACATGTGTCTCATTCATCACTTATCACGGTCAACTCATGTATTATTCATGCGGACCAGTTGTTTTTTATACGAGCGATATTAGATAGGGAGATTCAAACACAAAACTTTGGGTATGAGTTGTTGCTCTTAATTATTTGAACTTCAAACCCATTGCCACGTGACTAATTTTACAACGGTCATAGGTAGGATAGATTTCCTCCAATGTGACACCATCGCAAAAGAAAATATGGCATTTTTCATTTCCCTTTATTCTGAGAAGCAAGCTCAAATCAGCATAATTTGATATTTGATGTAAATTTCTCATGTGGGAATCGAATCTTGAACGTGTGTTGGAGTCTGCTCTAGATTTTTATTCCTTCTCTTAAAACTTCAAACTTTCATTTGTCTGCGTAACTGTGAGAGCTGTCCCGCAATGCCCCATCTCTCTCAGTTCTATATAAAAGAAGATGGCCCAATAGCTCCCCGCGTCAACCCAGCAACCCATGCCTCCCTTATCCTTCCTGAAGAGCCCAAATATGTGAATTAGCCCACCCGTCTGTCCTACTCTTTTGGGTCTTTGGGCTTGTTCCATGAAATCTCTGGATTACAGTGTGTGGTTCTGCAGCACAAGATTGAATTGACAAGTTGAGGTCTAACAGATTGAAGTCATAGTTTTGATCCCTTCCCAACAGCTTATCGGAAAAATGAGGACATTAAAAAATATAAAAAGATTGGCCCCTAGAGAGCAGACATCAACCACCCATCATATGTATATATCGTGGGTCACCCATCATATATATATTGTGGGTCTTCGTCGCTAAGTTTTTTTAGAGTAGTATTTGTTTTCATTTAATTAAAAGATGTCTCACGTTTCATTTACTTGAATGCGATAATAAAGATATATAAATGTAATGCTGAAGATAGAAAATTCAGCAAAATGCCTCTCTTTCAGAGGCTGAGACTGACAATTAACAAATCTTGGAGAAACAACAAAATTTGAGTCGGTGATTGATTGCCAAACCGCGTTAGCACTTGAGATTGCTATGAGGGTAAGAATCTAACTCACATCACATAAAGCTTTGCATGCAATGCAATTTATTTACCTGCTTCTTCTTCCCCGGTCCCTTGGGTCACTTGCGTGAGTGATTGAGAAAGCATACCAAATTCATTTCTTTTTTATTATATTGACTCATCCAAAATCCAGTCTTGTTAAAAGCTAATCATCGTTGTTCAATCATCTACATGAAATGCCAAACTATCCATTCGGCAATAAATTTTTTAGGACAGAGTCAGTGGTGTACTCAATAATTTTTTAGTAAAGGTGTAATTTTGGCCAGAATTTTTATATAAAATAAATAAATAAATACAAGCGCGATGTGCAACATAACACAACGCACTACAGTAGCAGACTAACTTCGTTTAGGTTTTTCATCGAACACCTAGAGTGCACCTCCTATGTTGAGCAGAGATGCAATATACAACACATATAATGACTTTTTCCGGCGAGAGAAGATGCAGCTGCACCTCCTTACGCCTTAATAGGTCCATCACTGAACACGATTGAAATTCAAACATTATCTCAAATAATCAACTGTTATGATTCATAGTCTAATATAACAGTATGCTTGGTAATTTATGAAGAATAAAAAATTTCCCCTTATCTAGTCGACCAAATCTTTGTCTCGTTGTCTAGGAATAAATGAGTAAGAGACTTTTCTGTGTTTCCAATTGAATCGGGTCCATGCTCATAATTTAGGTTTTTGTCATTCTACAAAGAAAATTTCAAACCCTAGAAAGGGAGAGATTTCTCTTTTATTGGAACTGACAATGCAGATGGTCCCAAAGGGTAACTAATGGACAATTTGATGGATGGCACACAAGGACATGTGGTTGGACACGAGGGCTTGAGTGCTTGAATTGAACTTATGCACGTAACTTCCTTCAACTATTGGGTCTAAAATTATCACAGCTATATACCATTCTTTCTTGTTATATGTGTCATTGTTGCCATCAAGCCTATGTCTTTTTATTGGTGCGCAAAGCATGCTTCACACATTGTAATAGGAAGCAACATCAACACCCGCACGATTCCATTTCAGTCACAATCCTTTTTGGTATTAGGTATGCTTCGCATTTATTTGAAGATTTTGCCCCCTAATCCTTGTGGAAACCAGCAAAAAGTGGCAATCAATCAAGGCTTGGGAGACTAGTATGCGCTCTTCTTTGGTGGCTAATTGGGTACACCAATCATAAGTCAATTATTCATAAATAATTTAAAGAAAAAAAACGCATTACATTTACCTAATAATACAATAGTAATGTGATTCAATGCTCAAAACGTCATAGACTACTACCTACACAGAGAATGACAACACCTAACTAAAATCAAAATGACGCGATTTATGTCTTATTTGTGTTCGACCACAACTAAATTGTGGTTTTTGTTACGAAAGATTAAACATGGGCTAATATTTAGGTTTTCTAACAGTGAAATAGTGAAAGCAAGAAAGCATTTTTGAGTAAATCAGAAGTCTGAAAAGAGATTTAAGTTGACTGACTGGTATATTAGAGTGGCTGCCCCCAAGACCAAAGTTTATATATTTTACGTGCATGCCGAAAGTTTTCAAACATTAGTTTAAGCATTAATTAATGCCTGGTTGACAATATAATACACACTTATGAGTTGTTAATGAAATAATTGTCTATTAAAAAGGTTCAAGAGTCAAGGCTATAAATTAATGAGCTTTCTCACCTCCATGCATCTTAGATTTTTGTGGGTGTGGTGTGTTTTGGGTTCTTTCCGACTTTCATGAAGTTTGTATTCAGATTTGTCTCCAGTTGTACCTTCCAGATAATGCCTTTTGAAAGAGCATGTCGGGTCCTCACGAATCACAAGCTCATGTAAGTCAAGAGTGATTGTTAATCACCAGCTCATGTGTGATGAGATTCGAGAGATGATTAGGATTTATTAAATCTTATATAACAAAAGTGGGTGAAAGCAAAAGAAAGTACAGTATAAAAATGAACTATGTCTTCCATATATTCTCGATGGAAGCTTACAATTGAATCTATATGAAGAATAGACGATTATATTGTCACGTGATGATTTTAGCATATTTATGTTGTAACACGCGTATTTATTATATTTTACGTTATGACATATCAATCATGTCGTCTATTCACATTATAACACGTCGACTAATTGGATAGTAACATCTTATGACTGTTTCGGATGTGCTACTACCAATGACAAGTAAAGGGTTGGAATTAATCCCTTTTTGGGATTGATGGATTCGGAGCTTAATCAATGAGGAAGCAAAGAATTAAGCACAGTGCAGCCACTTATATATGTTCATGACTCGTGGAAAATAAGCGAATTGCAAAGCAAATCCAGTAGAAGAGCAAAGCAAGCTGTCGATCATGAATATTTAATACATGGATGAAATCTTCCAATTTAATATTTGATTAGTGATTGTATTTCCCTCTAACGTGAAGCCAAAATGCAGTAAAAACATAAGTAAAAGACCAAAGTATTATGTGAAAGAAAAGAATCAAGATCAACTGATCAAGACAGAACGAGAGAGAGAGAGAGAGAGAGAGAGAGAGAGAGAGAGAGAGAGAGAGAGAGAGAGAGAGAGAGAGAATAAACACTTTTGATTAGGTAATCAAAACTTTTGATTGGATCATACATAACATCATCATATGCTTTGCACGTAACAAATTTCTTAAACCAAAATTCAAAGAGCATGTCATTATTCACACAGCTAGCTTGTAGTATTTAAGAAACCAGAAAGAGTAGCTTTCATTTCACTGCACATACGCACCAAATACACAATACAAAGACCCCGCCACCACCACAACTCTCTCAATCTCTCTCAAACCAACACCACCAAACACAACCACAACACTCAAAACCCTCTGCATAAAAGCATTCAAATCCAAACTCAAAACCAACCCAAACCATTCATTTGAATTTGCATTTGATTTTCCCATCTGTATTTTTTCATCGTAAATAAACCATGCCCATTGTTCCTCTTCTTCTTCTCCTCTGCTTCTTCACCCACTGCACACTCTGTTTCTCTGCTTCAAAAACACAAACACTCATTCTACCTCTCAAAACAGAGACACTTCCACATGGGTTTGCCCCACATTCAACAAACAAGCTCTCTTTCCACCACAACGTCACCTTAACAATCCAACTTTCCGTAGGTTCGCCCCCACAGAAGGTTACCATGGTCCTCGACACAGGCAGTGAGCTCTCTTGGCTCCACTGCAAGAAAGCCCCAAACTTAAACTCTGTTTTCAACCCACTCGCCTCTAAATCTTATTCTCCCATACCTTGCTCTTCGCCCGTTTGCCGGACCCGAACCCGAGACTTCTCCATACCCGTTTCCTGCGACCCCAAAAAGCTCTGCCACGCCACTCTCTCCTACGCCGATGCTTCTTCCATCGAAGGCAACCTCGCATCCGAAACTTTCGGTCTCGGGCTGTCCACGCAACCCGGTACGATATTCGGGTGCATGGATTCCGGGTTCAGTTCCAACTCGGAGGAAGACGCCAAGACCACCGGGTTAATGGGTATGAACCGCGGGTCGTTATCCTTCGTTACACAAATGGGGCTCCCGAAATTTTCGTACTGCATATCGGGTCGTGACTCGTCCGGTGTTCTACTTTTCGGGGAAGCGAAATTCGCTTGGCTCCGTCCCTTGAACTACACTCCTTTGGTCCAAATATCCACCCCATTGCCGTACTTCGACCGAGTCGCTTACACCGTCCAGCTCGAGGGGATCAGAGTTTCGGGAAAAGTGTTACCGCTCCCGAAATCGGTTTTCGTACCGGACCATACCGGGGCGGGTCAGACAATGGTCGACTCGGGAACCCAGTTCACGTTCCTTCTCGGTCCGGTTTACACCGCACTAAAAAACGAGTTCATTCAGCAAACCAAACCGGTTTTGAGAGTTTTGAACGACCCGAATTTCGTTTTCCAAGGAGCCATGGATTTGTGCTACCAAGTCCCTATGAACCGGCAGAGTCTTCCCCAGCTGCCAACGGTGACCTTAATGTTTCAGGGGGCCGAGATGAGCGTATCGGGCGAGAGGCTGTTGTATCGGGTACCGGGAATGGTGAGGGGCAGTGATTCGGTGTACTGCTTTACATTCGGAAACTCTGACTTGCTAGGCATCGAGGCGTTCGTGATTGGACATCACCATCAGCAAAACGTGTGGATGGAGTTTGACTTGGAGAAGTCCAGAGTGGGAGTGGCTGAGGTTAGGTGTGATCTTGCGAGTCAAAGACTTGGGTTGGGGGTCTAGCTGGGCCCCCCCAGCTGGCAACATTTTTGTGGGTTTTTGGGTCACCTTGATCAAGGGCCCACCACATTAGCTGAGTTTGTGGGCCCATTTGGTTCAGAATCGTCAGATAGTATGTGGTCATGTATGGAAAATAGGGTAAATATCAGGATTAGTTTGCACTGTGTTCAGCTGTTGTTAAAAAAACTTTCTTGCAACGGGGATAAGACTGTTTTGTCATCCCGGTTCATAACATAATGACACGTAAAATGGCTAGTTGTGTCGTTGCGTTATTAACTAGGGATAGCAAAAAATGTTATTCCTGTTGCATGACAGTGTTTCTCATTGTTGTTGCTATCTTAGTAATAAATTTTTTGGGTTTTTACAAAACTGTGAGATTCTCTGGGTCTCTGTGGGTACTACATTTGGTGAAGTGGGTTTGTTTTATTTGTTTTAGTGGTGAGGGCAGGTGGGTTTTGAATTGATGGAGAGGATACAGAAGATGAAAGATCTATCAGGGTCCATTACCCAAAATTCCAACTCCAATGGTTTGATTTGGGCTTTTTCTTTCTGTGGGACCAAATGAGGTGCATGATTCGAAGGGTCCATAAGTTGCTGGTCTATCTAGAGTCATGGAGTCACACTGCAGTTCATTATGGTGGGTTCTGAGGTCCCGTTTGGTTCACAGAATGAATTTGAGGGGAAATCATTTCTCATGTCATTTCATAAGGAATAGGAATGAAAGATTTTCTTCCCACGTTTGGTAATGTCAAGAAAGTAACCGAGAGATTTCACTTTGTTTCTTTTCCCATGTTTGTTTTGAGTAGGAATGGAAAACAAAGTTTGTATAATTTTTCAATTATACCCACATTAAATCAAATAAAAAAAGAATGCATTTAATGATACGTTGTAATTATAAATTGTTCATAGGGACAAAATAGTCATGAAAATTGTGCATTGAATGTTGGCTCATTTTCCCAAACTTTCCCATGATGAGGGAAAACAAAACCCAAGTTAAGAGGAAGGCTTCACTTTCCCCCTTACTTTCCTATGTGTCATGCAACCATTTCTCATGCTTGGACTTACCAAACATGGGAAAACAATTGAATTCCCATTCCCAAACCTCCTTTTCCATAAACCAAACGGAACCTAAAAGATCTAAGGTTCTGGCACTGAATCTTTCTTGCTTTTGAGAGCCGCAATGTACAATTCAGGGGGCATACATCAATTTTCATTTCCATATTTTGGCTTTAGTTATAATTTTGTGAATTACGGAATAGCAATAATGGGCTTGAGTTTAATTCAAAACTCATTTAATGGGCCACATACATTTGGGCCATGTGCATTTGGACTTTAATATAAGAATTTGGGCATGATATTTTGAGTTTAGCATTATTAGATATGGCCTTACTATTGTTGGGTCTCTAGCTCAAATGGTACTACATTTTTACGCCCATATGAAGTTCAACTAGGCCGGTTTTGAAATTTTCAGAACCCAGGGGAAAAATAAAATTTAGGCCCCTATATATAATTTTATTTATTTATTTAAAGTTAGTGATGGATTCACTCTCATTTTTCAACTAAGATCTAACCTCTTCAAACTTCAACATGATTTTGTTGTTCATATTCATTAACTAAATCATTATCAATTCCTACAAATTCTTCAACATGATTTTGCTGTTCAGATTCATTGACTAAATCTTCAGTTGAGTTATCAAGTGAACTATTTGTTTTGTTAAAAAGAAATTTATCCATAGCTCCCTTTTGAGATTTAGTTAATTCTTCTCTCTCTTTTTTTCTTTTTCTATTTTGACTTCCAAATGGTTGTTTCTTAGGGAACATTGGTACTTCAAAACAGAAACGATGCAATTTTAATACTTCAAAGAATAAACAAAGAACAACATACTGTGGAATTAGAGAAATCCTCCTCCACAATAACAAACTTGATATTTCCAAATTTGCAATCTATTAGAGCTTAGAAGAATTCATGTGAAGAGAATGTGTAACTCATGAACCTACAAAAAAATAATTATTATATTTTCCTTTTCATTTGATATCAAATCATGAAAAATTACCTTCAATTAATTTATACAAGGACCAATTTTGCACTGAACAAAAGCCCACACTTCGAATTTTGGAATCTCCCCAATCTACCAACAGAGAAATTAATTTAGGGATTCACAACTAGAACTAGTAGGAAAGGCTTAGATGATATGAGAATGAGAAGAGGAAGTAGGAGAAGTAAAATTTAGAATAGATAATGTTAACCTAGAGGAGTGGAATGGGTAGCCCAAAAGGGTTCTTCTTGAGGAGCAGAAGAGATGCGCATTCTTCCTTAACGCGAAAGCCAATTTTATTTTCTCAAAAACATTAAATTAGTTTATAATAATATAATATAACACTATAACACTTATAATAAAAAAATTGGGCCCAGGGCAGTCGCATTGATTGCCCTCTGTGCCAGGCATGCGTTCAACTATCATCATTCCACTTCTAAACATGATCATGCTCTCGATCATTAACACACACACACACACACACACACAAAGCATTTCAAAAAAATTGAAAATGGTAATGCATGATTTCATTCAATATACAATTAACGTAGTCACGAAAATAATAATCGAAATTGGTACTCGATGAATGAAGATTTCTTGTTTAAAAATTGTTATTTGGATATTGATCATGAAGTCGTGTATATTAGTGCATGTAATTCATTAATGGAGTGATCAACAACATAGTTTACATCATCCACTTATCATAACAAACTCTTCAAACATCATGCGGTCCTCTCTTATAAAATGATGTTGGTGAAATTGCATAATGGATTTTCTTTTTATAACACCAATAACATTTCCTTAATTTTGGACAGAATACAATAACTCTTACAAATTTTCATTTCCCAAATTCAAAGGATTGAAAAAAATAAAATCGCGAGTAACAAATAAATATGATTTCGCATTTGCAAAACGGTGCGTTTCTTAGGGGATGTGTTGTGTGGTGGAAGCCAGAAACTCCTCGAATGGAGTCAGATGTCGCAGTCAAAGAAACCGTTAAAGACGACCCAGAAGAAACGGTGTCGTAACGGCAATAGTAATTAACTAATCTTAGATTTAACCGGACATTGACGATAGACAAAGTTTTAAAGCTTCCGCGGCAAACGCGTCCGAGTCGAATCAGATCTCTCTGTACATTGCAACTCGCTCTTTCATCTCCCGCCGAGACGTTGCATGGCGTTTTCAAGATAACGCCGCCGTTTCCCGGGATCTGAACCATCTGAAGTAATTTCTTTTTCGTAATTCTCCATCTTTTTACATTTTCTGTCCCGTCTTTATTCTGTGATTGCTTTAATTTTCTTTATCACAGGCTTTTGAAAGCTTCTTCCAATCAGCCTCTGTTATTCTTAATGTTTCCCAGCGTGCGATCGCTACCTGAATAACTGCTTTTATGTGAAGACTAATTTTTTTTTTTTGGTTCATTGTGTAGTTAAGGGAATGTGATTTTGGGATTAGGGTTTTGTTGATGACTGATTCTCTATCCGAAATTTATAATATATTGGATTTTTGTTTTTTTGTTCTGCGGTGGAAACTATATCAGCTTGCTTAGTTTAGTTCGCTATGTACACTTAACAGCAGGGAATTCTTATGGAGTTCACAGCTTGATACCTTTTTTTATACGTTATTTAAGGTTTCTACTTTGTTTAGCTGGGAATTTTTAGTGTAATGCGTTTTCTTCCAAACCATGTGGGTCATTTCCAGTATTTGCTATTATGGTGTCTACGTTTTTGTGACCTATAATTTGTTTATTGCATCTTAATTGGCACTCTTGAGTTTGGTTTTACCATGGTTTCCCGTAAACTAGCTTCTTTTGGTTTATGAATTATGACGCTTACTGAATGAACATTTTGGCGTTTTAATTTCAGTGAACTTGAAAATCAGTGACTTAATATTTTCAGCAGAGCTCTTCTAAACCCTACAGACATGAGTTTTGTTTTCCGGGGGACAAGAGCAGATATTGAAAGTGGATTCCCGGAATTAATACCAGAGCGGCGTGCAATGGTACATTTCTTGTATTTCTGAAATTTTGTGTGTGCAGTTTTTAGTGAAAGTTGGGGCAGTTCATTTTCTGTCTATTTTATCAGTTGCCATTGCCTTTAGACACAATTGCATCTTCTCCTCCTTAAGAACAAGGATGGAGGGTGATTTCTGTGGTTTATCCATGGTGGGTTTGTGTATGTAATCTCAGAGCAATGGTGGAGGGGTGAGTTCTGGGGTTCAATCATTGTAGGTTGTGTGTATAAATTTCCTAGGGGAAAAGAGGGTAAAGGTGCTATTATCTATTAATTTGTATTGATATTGGCTGTTTTGTATCAGCGCGTTCATGCATCACGTTCTGTCAATTCCAACTCACTTGCTTTTCTTGTCACAGGTACATTTAATCTTACCCTTTTGTCTTTTTAGTTTGTAACTTTGTTAGTTATTACTAATTTCTGTGTATATGTTGTCTTACTTCCAGTTCTTTTGTTATTCATGATACTGAACTCGCACCAGATGTCACCTAATTTCCTGGTATTGTCTTTCTCTGAGCGTGTAAATTGGTTTGTTAGTTTTACTGGTAAAGTTCGCTGTTCTTTTGGGTAGTTTTATGAGAAGTTAACAATCCTTCTTTCAAACTGATGTATGTAGCTCTGGCTAGTTCTTGGCGTCTTTTTGATGGCCACAACGTTAAGGATGTACGCAACCTGTCAACAACTTCAAGCTCAAGCACAGGCTCATGCAGCGGCAGCCAGCGGCCTTCTTGGTCATACTGAATTGCGGTTGCATGTGCCACCATCCATAGCCCTAGCAACAAGAGGGCGCCTTCAAGGCCTCAGACTTCAGCTTGCACTTCTTGATCGGGAATTTGATGACCTAGGTTTGGTAGTTATATCCATCTAGAATGAGTTTTATGTCTTGAAAGCCAATACATGGAGATTATAAGTTTCACTAGCCAAACCATGGCTTTATATTTAGTTCTCTTAATACTTTTCCTAGGCCCCTAGTTTTATGTCAACATTTTCTTCTGTTCGATACCAGATTATGAAACTTTGCGAGCTTTGGATTCTGATAATGTTCCAGCAGCTTCTTCTATGAGTGAGGAAGAGATAAATGCTCTTCCAGTCCATAAATACAAGGTTATGGGTCTTCAGACGTAAGTTCTCTAGTTTTATTTGTGAGCTTGGTTGTTGCACAAGCGTTTTGGCAGATGATAAATAGATTCCTTATTTTTGTTGGTTTTCCATCCTTCTCAAAAAGACATCTTGTAATTAACTAAGTGAACTTCACATCTTAATAGGTTATGTTTTGTATGCTTATTTGTGCATGCACCTGTTTGAACATATACATTTGGCTTGAGTTAGTGTTGTATTGAATCTGTAGTGTGTTTTTTACGCTTATTGTACATAAATGAGTTTAGTTCCACAAATTTGGAGCTGAGAGTTAAGTTTAGTGTTGTATAGGGTTCCACTCTGTTTTTCCTGAGTGGTTGATTAGAAGCATTGACAACTAAGGGGATTTGGACCAAAAGAATTGAGAGATTTTGTTCTGTTATTTACATGCTCATATTATTTTGGTACGATGGCGGGGCCAAAGCCCCACATGTTCATACTATTTTGAGGCAAATGGAAGAATGAATTGAATCGTAGTTGCCTAATATTTTATATGGTTCTGTTCTGAATGCAGTGGTGCTTCATCGATTCAACAAGCTTCATCTTCAGCACCCTCTGAGGTATTCGCTATAAACTATCCCTTTGTCCTTTCGTAATTTCTGCCCTTCTGACAGGAAATTTCTAACATACTATATAATCTCATATCATATGATAGCGTTCCATTTATCTCTGTACCATTGTATTTTCTCTGTTCTATTTAGCAGAAGAAGCAAGAAACTGCTAACACAGTTGGGAGCACAAAAGCCTCAGAAGATGAACTGACTTGCAGTGTTTGCTTGGAGCAAGTTAACGTGGGAGAACTAATCCGCAGCCTTCCTTGCATGCATCAGGTTCAGTTTCTTTTTTCAGTGGCTTAACATTGTTGGTATTATATTTCCTATATTTTTCAGTTGTGGGATTTTTAGGGAGTTCTTGCTAGAGTAAATTATTTGCATTGATTCCACAAAATGCACACGTGCAAACGCATACCCACGCACATGCACACACTGTCACACTCACATGAAATATGAACAGAAAACACAGCATCTGAGGAATTGATCTTTAGCTAACTTGACTAGTGGAATCATTTTGCATACCAAAACCTGTAAGTAATTTGAGTTTAAAATGTAAGGGGTTGTCTTGGTATGTTTTTGTGATCCATGATATTATAAAATGCACTTTGTAATGATGTTTTGTATTCAAAAATCTTGATTTGATATAATTGTTCCGTTGCTTTGCTGCAGTTCCATGCTAGTTGCATAGATCCTTGGCTGAGGCAACAGGGAACCTGCCCAGTGTGTAAATTCAGAGCAGGATCGGTGGGGTGGCATGAAAATGGACAAGGTGGAATGGATCCTTCGTACATGGTTTGATTATTAACAGTGTAACTAGTAGATGTACTACCTGCATAGTTAGACACATGGATAAGATTGAGAGCTTATGCTCAGCATTGCTGTAATTATCGTGACATAGGCATTGGAATGGCAGAATATTATGTCCTCACTACAAGAAGTTTTGTGTATTTGATTTGATTTCTTCAAATCCGTATTAATAGAATTATCTGATTGGTCCGAAATTTATGACAGAAGCTTGTTTGCTTGGGACTTGTATTGGACCTAATGGTTTGAGTTTCCAAGAGGTAGACATATCTGATCCGAAAATTCCGAAATTCACTTAGAATTAAAACTTCCAAACACAGAAATTTATCAGAATCGAAATTTTCAATCTAACCCGGCGGTAAAGAAAAGCAATTATTCAGCATGGGTAAACAAAAGCATGGATTTGAAATACAATATCTCAGATATTTCCATATTAAAAAAGGGAAGTACAATAACCCATTGGTACCTCAAATATGCTTTGACATAAGCTTATAGTAGATACAATAATAGATCATTCAAAGTCGTACTGTGAAGTTGCACAAAGGTCACGGTTCTGTCTAACTCATGAATAAATTTTTATTTATTTATATGAAGGATCACGTTCATGCAAAGATGTGTTTAAGCGCCTATTTTCCTTTGCCTTTTCCCTTTCCACCCTTCTTGGCATCTAACTTAGCTTGAATACGAGCAGCAGCAGCAGCTTTCGCCTCTTCTCTCTTCTTCTTATCTTCCTCTTTGTTTGCAGCAGCCATCTCCCTCTGCTTCTTCAGTTCTCTGTTGTGAGTACCAATATGCAATTTAATCCATCATACTGTTTATGAAAGTTGGTAGATCTCAATAGAACCAACAATAAGAATAACGATAACAATATGACTTGCACCATATCTCGAGAACAAGTCACGGAACAGATAAAAGCATTAAACTTACTCTAGCCTGGCCCTTTCTTCTGAGGCACTACCCAAACTTAAACCCTTCCGTGGATTGCAAGCCACCAACTCCACCTCAAATATAAGGGTTGCCCTGCAGAATATATTTGTAATGGACTATGCATTAGTTACAAAGAAATGGTAAAGAGACACCATTTGTGATAAGAAATAAAGACAATTGACAAAGCAAACTGATGCAGACTTTTATGAACACTTGGGTGCAATCATAAACCAAAATGCTTAATGCACAAGTTGGATGTATTGGGTGGGTGAAGACCCCCACCCTAAAGGAGTCTTATCACCGGGATTTTTTTTATACTTTTCTTACCAACATGCTTCTGAAGATTCTACATCTATATATTGGATATCTTGGTATAAAGTTGGGTGTCGAAGATCAACAACCTAATAACTCTTATTTCATATTTCAAGGCTTGGATGTAATTGTTGCCAATAAGCATTATACAATCCCAAGTTTGGGACTGAAATAAGCCTGGTCAAGGTCCTATCAACATATAGAACTAATCTCTCCAAAAACGTTGTTTTGGAATATCAATGGACATATATATATATCTTTAATTTCACAAAGTTATTAGCATCTTTGATTGTTTTCTCTAAGAACAACTTCGATAGAAAATTTAGAGCAATGAAATTACTCTGGTGGAATATCTGGTGGAGAACCCGCACTTCCATAGGCATATTCTGGCTTGCAAGTGATTTTAGCAATCTCCCCAACCTGGTGAAACCAACAAAAGATAAAACATGTAACAGGAGACTTGAACAGCTACTAAATTTCTTAAAGAGAAACTCAGAAACATATTTTGACCTTCATGGTTTTCACTGCAATATCCCAAGCCTTGATTACACTGCCCTTCCCCAGCTCAAATGAGAAAACTGTGTTATCTTCATGTGTCGTATCAAAAACTTCGTTGGTTTCCTCAAGAATGCCTTCATAATGAACTGCCCAACATAAAGTACGTGATGATAGGCACAGAGTAAAGACAAGTTTGCTAGGTCATTTCGCTCGAGTTAATTAGAAAATGTTGTTACTACACCATTAACAAATAAACATCAGCAACAGCACTATAATATAGTTCATACCATCAACGAGGGGAAGGTCTTGGGTCGGAGCAATTGCATCTGGTTTTGCATGCCTTACAATTTTCTTGAGGACCCCTCCATCCCCGCTCAAATCAATTGCATCACTCATTGCTACAACACTTGCAATCTTCAATGGTCTGTTCCCGTCATAAAAAGGAAACATTGAGCCACAACAAGATAAAATGGATAGGAAATAAGCCCAATTTACATGCAAAGCTACCACATCATTACTTATCCATCAAAAACCCTCCAAAAGGATTTATCTTTTGGGCACAACTATTATTAATTAAGGATTAATTAATTTAATTCTATGGCATTCATACTACTAGAACAAGTGTATAACAATTAACATTATATCTCCTGTAATCTAAGGTTTATCAAAACCCCAATGAAAAATAAAAAATTCCAAAAGAAATAATTTTCTTCTTCTAAAAAGAAATGAACAAGTAAATCGAATCGAAATCAATCAGATTAAGTTTTCACTAGAGTTCAACAATTACTATCTTCAATCCCAGATTAACAAGGAAAGCAAAATTAAATAAATAAATAGTGGTTTTGGGAGAGAGAGAGAGAGAGTCGGGGGGAGGACTGACCCGTTCCGAGGGAATATAGCAGCTTCCAAAACGGAGCAGGGCAATCGGGTTGTCGGGTTGAAACGGAGACGTTAAATCGGGTCGTATAGCCGGGAGCTTCGGTGGCCATGGGCGTTTGGTAAAGTTTGTGCTCAACAAAGAAACCTGGCGTTCTTATATTCACGATGATTCGATGCCAATCCCACGCGCACTTTGTGGCGGGTGATTTAGCAGATGCTCAAGCGATGTTAGAAAAGTACAAGTGGCTGAGCACACAGATGGAGCTATAGAGACTAAATTTAGTCTTAGGAAGAGATTGACTACTCTTCCCATCAACATCGGGGTAGACTCACAACTTCAAATTGGAAGGATTTACGCGTGGTACCCAACCCAACTATCAGCTGTCACTGGTATATATTTATGTATAAAATTACAGATCGCACACTAACTAGGACTGCTGGCAGCGAGACTCGAATACTAGTAGAGCTACATATAGTGTAAGGACCTTACCAACTAAACCAATTCTCATTGGCATTTACTCAATTTTTTTACCAAAGCAAAATTAGCCTATTTCTAATTTATAGGGAAGCCCCAAAACATCATGCATTCTTAAGATTTAGAAAGGGCATGAATATAGAGTGTGAATAATGCTTTCTTTTTAGTAAGATAACTTACTTTCAAGTTTTTGTACACATATACTTCTCAGTTTTCTTGAAAAATGAATTTGTTTAATTCTTTGACCTACCAACCACTTTTGAATTTTACTTATAATAAGTGATGAAGCATGATGATGGTATTGATTTAACTTCTTTTTTTTCAAATTCAGAATTCAGACTTGAGACTAAACCTAAATTAGGAACTAATTGATGAATACAAAGAAAATTTTAGAACTCATTTTGAGAGTGAAGAAAAGAACTTGAGATGAGGGAGTGGTTTTAGGGTTTAGTGGATAATAGAGGCCCAAAACACAATAAAACTACACACACGCACAAAAAGCATGCCCTTAGCAACCCGCATGACATAAAGCATATCCCGAGATTCGAAAACGACTACTCTTTATTCGTTGTACAAATTAAAAGGCTTGACTATGGCCCATTAAGAAGTTGTTGGACTAATCCTAAATGCGGCCCTTCTCTCTTCTTTCTTTTCGGCCCTTTTCATTTCATATAAAGGACTAAACTCACGACGATATTTTGACACTGCATGAAGCAAGCAACACCGGGACCCACGTAGGATCCTAGTACGTACCTACTCCTAAGGAAAACTTGGTTGTAACGAGAGTAGCTTTATTTTGCTATCCTCTACCAATTACGCTATGTCACGTAAAAAAGTTATGACGCCAAAATAGCTAAACAATAATACCCCGCTTCATGGAAGCGTTCCTTCCACATCCCATCCCAGACTCCCGCGTGACCTCTAGTCCCAGAAGAAACCCCACAAGAGGGAAAAAGGGTCCAAAATTGGCCCAGAACGTTTCTTTCATTAGGGTTATCATCTAACGATAAGGTGCCACGTGTTGAGATACACGTGTCCAAGATTAGATTCCATGCGTTTATCATGTCGTGCACGCTGGGTTGTACATGATGTGACCATTGACCCAACGCTCCAGAATGTTCCACCAAGGCACCTCTGCATCATGTCATATCATATCAAAACTCATGCCAATTGCCAACATTATACTTAAGGGCCTTTATTTTTCCTTTTTCTTTATTTTTTATTTCTTAGATTGGAAAACCTTGTCGACCCAAAAAAAAGAAAAAAAAAGAATAGAAAACCTTAGATGGGCCCACAACCATGAATATATCGATCATTGCCGAGAGAAAGGATAAGAGGGTGGGCCAGGGCTTGTAAACTACAAGACATTGCCAACAAGAATCTCGTACAAGCTTCCTAACTCTACTCTGGGCCACTTTTGGACCAGTTTCATTTACTGGGCTTTTAACGAAGCTGTCACTGTTACTGTAAATTTCCAGCTATTGATTAACGTTTGGGTCAAACTCTAATTCGCACGTGGGAGAGACGGTCTCTAGAAAAATCTGACAACTATTTATATAAAAAATCAAGCACAGTATTTCATCCCAAAAAAAAAAAACAAAGGTATTTGGAGTGGAGGTACTAACTGCCCTAGCGTAGGATGATTATCAGTCGTTGATGTAAGTAGGTCTAACAATGCGTTGATGGTTAGCAACTACTGGCACTAGCTCAACTCTAGCATTTGTATGATATTAACTTATTAAATAGTGATTAGATAGGACACTATTCACCTTATTGCGCTTAACATATCTTTACCATGCACATATCATAATTAAAATAATTTATTTTTAAAAATTACCATTGAACGATGAACTTTGCACAATATCAATTAATCTATTAATTCATCGTTCATATGTATCAACTAAATGGACGCTTGAATATATGATTCGTAATTTTTACTAAAATTATCGATCTATTCGGTGCATACAGTATATGAATTATTAAAGTTAATGAAATGGAAGAAAAAGAAACCCATTTGACGTATGGTCCAAGGGACATCCACACTTCCACTAATTACATTTCTAATCATCTAAATTAAAGTGGGTTTAGATTTGCGTGAAGATTTGATTCTCACTTTTCCTTGTTGAATCTATTGGGTTCTTGGACTACCTCTCCAAAAAACCAATGTGATAACATTTTTTCCCTTTCTTTTTGTTCTTTTTCGGTCCTTTAGCACGCCAAGCTGAATTCCAATGATTAACATTCAAAACCTTAATCAAATATAATCTTTTGAATTGATGTTTGTTTGATTGCCTCAAACTAAAGTGCATAAAAAAAGATCATATCGAGGAAAGCAAAAGTTTATGTTTGACCTCCTCATCCGATAGTTACAACCATCAGATAAATAAAGACAATAACAAAAAATTAGAGAGAGAAAAAGAACAAAGAACAAAACAAAACAATAGAGAAGCGACCTTGTAATCTTTGTGGCGTTTGATTCGGTACTAATAATGAAGTAAGAAAAGTGTGGGAAATGGTAATGCATGAGTTATGATTAGTTTGACTCAAACCTACCTCAAAAATAATAATGTTATTTTTTGAAGGGTGGAATTAATCCCCGCTTGAGGTTCGACTTGTCCCTGGCTGCAAAATGCTTCCAACGAATAGGTCCACACTTGAAGGGTGGAATTAATCCCTACTTGAGGTTCGACTTGTACCTGGCTACAAAATGCTTCCAACGAATTTCGAACTTATGTCATTAAAGCATTAGGCAGTTCGCCAGCTGGAAGTGGCAATTTGTCAATCACATCACACATTGTGGTTACTTAACCTCTGATTATTTTAGTTTTAAAAAGATGCGTATCTTATTGTAGGGTCAAATCTAAATATATAATAAGTCTTAATCTGATAGCGATGCTTTTACAAAAGAGAGAGTAAATAATCGCAGCAATGCAACCACAATACTAGAAGATTCGACTCGTTTCACGTCGGGCTAAGTTAGTATGCATAACACGTTATACCGGACTCGATCAAATTTAATCTCATTAAAAACTGTGGGGATAGTGGTCTCATGTAGACTTAAAGAGGAAATTATCTACTTAGGGCAACGTTAGTGCTTTTTTCTTTTTCATTTTTTCCTTAACAAGGAAGCGCTTTTGACTGTGCGAAACCATGTGTAGCTGTTGTGCGGCCTTGTCAGCCGCTGTGCCAACTTGCCAATCCCAGTCGAGCATATCCATAATTCACATTATTTTTTTGGCAAATACCAAAAAAAAAACAAAGAAGAAAAAAAGCAATTGAATTTTGTGACACTTTTATTTTAAAAAAATATTTCAAATTTCCAAAGTCTGGTATTTAACTGCGCAGCTTACTTATTTTAGTAATTTTCAGCTTTAAGATTTCCAACAGCTTCCTTATTTTAACGAAAGGTCAGATCCATGACGACACATTACACACAACACCACGAAACCCACAGTATAAAAACTACACCGAAGAACCAAAACCAGCTGTAAATTGATAAAATGACGAAAATACCCCCACACATGCGTGCCAATCGGACACGTCACGTGTTGAAGCAGAGCAGTTTGGGAATCTGATGGCAAATATACACAAAGGATGATGCCACAGTGAGGGGTTTCGAAACTGCCCCTGCGCAGATACACCAGATAGGAGGTCAAAGTGGTCCTCAACTGGTCAAACCCAGGACAAATTGGTCATTTCGACCACCAGCAGGCATTGGAGGCAGAGCCTTCCCAATTACTTCTCCAGCAATATCAGCCTTATTCATAGAAGTGACAGATTTTGAACACAAAATTTTATTTTATTTTTACCAAAAATTGTACAACATTGAAATTGTAATGTAAGAAAGGAGGCATCTTTTGTGCAAATTCTGGAGAGCCTTTCTCTCTCTCCCTCTCTCCCTCTCTCCCATGTTGCTCCATCTTCTACTGAGACTTTGCCCCCATTTTTATATTGATCTCTAACATCCATGATTCAATTTAAAACTTAGAAAAATGGGAAGATGCAAATTTAATAATTGATTTAATACTACTTGTGTCAGCCAAGCTCACCAGATCCACAATTCCATCAGCTGCAATATAGTTGAATGGAATCTCCCCCCTCTTTTCGCTGAATAAAATATCTGAACCAAACCCATCACTTCAAATCCATTTCAGAATTCAAGCAAACCCAGAAAACCAAGACCTGATCAAAACCATAATGCAAACAAAATGAAAAAGAAAAGAAGGGAATGGCGATTGGGATGGGGATGAATTAGAATTTGACCACAAAGTTCTAATTGACTAATTTTCATTGAAATCCTTCTCATGATTCTCAGATAGTCACAGTGGATATAACATCAAGAAACCATCTCCTTCGTTTGGAGATTGACAGCCCAAAATAAATCTAACCCATAAACGAGAAAAACAAAGCAAAAATTTATGTACAAGTATAAATCTATCTCTTCCTGCCAAGTCCTCAAGAAAAAAGGCTGAAACTGAAGTGGGTTTTCTGCGGCAAACAAACCCCAAAAAGATCTAACACAAACAGAGGAAAAAGATTGTGCCTTTGCCCTTTTCTCTCTCTCTCTCTCTCTCTCTCTAGACCCTTCTCTGTTTTCCCTCTGTTTTCTTCGTCCATCAAACATTCTCATGAATCGCTGTAATCGTTCCAGCAGATGAGCATAGT